GTATATGGACAAGTGGCTGTTGCAGGTCCTGGGATTCAGCCAGTAAAGCAAGGGAGGAGGAACTAAAGCTGAAGACAACGTAGTCTAGGACGCAATACAACACCATTAACACATTTTAGAAGTGACACAGCTTTACACAGTTGGTATGGCTGTACGCTGTGTCCAAATTCACTATTTGTTATAATGCTTTATCCTACTGTCTGTTATTTAAATTAAGTGTCACAATGCTGAATGTGTAAATCTAACCACTATTTAGTGCCCTCAACAATTCCACAGTAATAGTAGTGTCTATGGCGTGTACACTACTTTCTGCTAACAGTCCCACAATACAATGTTTTACAGAAGAGAAAATTACTGTTGAGTGGGTCTACAGCTGTCAGTGATGACACAAAATGGCCATGAGTGTTCAAAATCTGAATTTACCTCTCACTATTGTGTGGGTGCAGCGAATGAGGTAGTGATGTGGGACACAACTGTTGTGTTTCTAGGTGTATTATGTACAAAAATGGTTTAATCTGTTATTGCATATTGAATTGGCTCCTTTAAATATATAATTCATTAGCATAAAACTTCAGATTCTTAACACAGTAGTGTTCAACTAGGACCGATCACATAGCTTTTCAGTTGTGTGTTGGTCAGCAGTTCATCAGTTTTGAGAGCTATAACTCTTAAGCACAGCGCTGAGCAGACAGTAGCTGCTGAGAGGACGATCCATCTTTGGAAAAAAGAACTGCAATTGTTTTCTGGCCAGGCTGTAGCTTGAACTCGGTATATCTCTATCTTTATTACAAATCTGGCCAGTTCGCCCGGAAACTTAAGCCTACGCCTGCCTGTTGGTCAGAAAGAGAAATCAGCAGTAGGGAAAAGGTGTAATGAGGGAACACGGGGTGAACTGATGGATAATAAGAAAGATATGGAGTTAAAGGCTCATTCACACCACGCAATATTTGAGTGACAGTCTGTCAGAAATGTAATGCGTGTCATTAAATCATATACCACTCTGCTGCCCTGATTGTAAATTACAAAATGAGTTGGTATTCAGCTCATGTGCTCCGTTTCCCTCTTTTACACCCACTGTACCCACAACACGTACACCGCAGAGGCATATTTGCATAATCAATAGTTTTTGAGTATGCGTCAAACTTCCTGTGGTTCTTAATTTGTCCACTGCTATTTCAATAGATAATTTTGACATTAATGCAATGCTCGAGTAACTAATGGACTAGTAAACATGTTAAATGCCATGAGGTGGCACATTGGGGCTGTTTGCCCAATAATCCTGCAGTACCTGAGCACGTTCTGCATGTGCCTGTCTGATGTCTAAAGCATTTTTGTGTTTGTATTTGTGCAGCATGTAATACAACTGGTGAGCAAACTGGAGTTGATCTGCAGTTGAAAAGAAGCTTACCTCCAATTTTTTTTATTATCTTCACTTTCCCTCCGTGTCCAAAACTCGGACCTTATTGAAATGAACAGATGATGCCGAATAGGATGGAAATAAAAATATTATTGTCCTTGTTTCAAATCTGCATAGTTGTTAACAGCAATGTTGTCCACAGTGTTGTTGATATTGGATATCATTAATTTGATATTCTTTAATTTTTCAAGCAAACATTCTCTATTTTTAGCATTTCCATTGTGAGGAATTGCTGTTTTACTCAGTTTTATGCAATTGTAAACTCAATATCTTTGAGTTTTGAGCTGCTGACCTCTCTTGAAATGGATAAAAGTATCACCACATGGTCTGTTTTGTAGCTGTTCTGGTCTTTTTATGGAAAAAAAGCTGACAACAGTGTATCATTGGTATTGATTGCCTGTTTTCAGAGCATTCCCACCAGTAAATCGCCTGTTAATACATTATAGTAACTCAAAAAACAGTGTACTAGAAACTTGCTAATACTTAGAAGTGTTATTTTTATGAGCTAATTGTACCTTAGTGGCGCCTGGAAGACCCACACGTATCTACAGCCACGGCTGCCAGACGAGCACAGGTTTTCATTTCTCATTAACAGAATTGTGAGTTAATTCAAAGGGATGCCAGGCATAACCGATCCCTCCTGTCCCTGGATATATGTGAGCGTTTGCTCACTCATTTAATTAAAGGGCCGGAGCTAGCCATCATCTAACTGGGCTGTTCAATAAACCCGTATCACAGACACAGACAGAGAAAATGGATCCTGACCCTAATCTGAACTGAAGGATTGTTTCCAGGCAATGGCTTCTTGTATATTTCTATCTAGGGGTGTGAATATGTTCTGGGTTGTTTGTGAACCAGATGCTACAGTGTAGACAGGATGAGTCTCTATTATCTATGTTGCTTGGAGGTGCATTTAAATTGTTTTACTTTTTGTGGGGCCACCATTTCCCAGCAGATGTGACCTTGTGTATGTATATGCAGAATATGAAACTTCTTTTGATCATTGTGGTATAATATACAGTAAGTGTCTGTCTTGCCATCACTACGCTAACGCCAACCACTGCCTGTCAACACCCACCCCTGCCCGCTCTCACATAATATGCTGCACCTAATGATGCATTTGAAAAGCAATCAGTGAGGCTGCACAGGATGTGCTTGAAGAGCACTGCTGATAACTTAGGGAGATGGGAGACCACGCTACTGACCACTGGCTGCACAGACACAGGTGCACAGTTCAGCACGCTACATACAGCATATGTGATGACAAGAGGGTATGTGTGATTTGGTGCTTTACTTGATGTGGGGACACCTGCACACATTTTTGGTACATCCGTGGGTGTTTGTGTATATTTTATATCTGTTGCATGTATCACTGCGTATATAAAACATATTTTTTGTTTTGCACTTCTAATCTTTAAGTGTGTACATGTATAGAATCAGAAAGTGTTGTAGGCTGTAACCTGGCTGTGTTTGATGTGTAGAGAAGCACCGTAAATAATTTACTCCGTCCACTCGAGCTGCACTCACTTTCACACCTTCCCAGCAGCAATAGCTTGATCTGTGCATTTCAGCCTAGTGCAGATATAGACATATGTTTTACTTAAGCTTTCCTCCTCTGTGTGTATTATTTTAAGTATAATTGACACAACTGCAATATATACTGACAGTGATAGGTTTATGCTAACCATTACATTTACTGTAGCCCTGCCCCCTGCACTTAGTCAGCACAAATCCTACAGAGAAACAACCTATATACATAATTTATGTTGAGTTTAGATAGCTGCTGTGCTGATTTAAAACACTGATGAACAGCCTGTACTATTTTGTCTCTTTGTCTTTTTATCAGACTTTGAATAAGACCTAATGTCAATATAATAAGCTAAATATAGCTTAATGCCAATAAAAGGATGCATAATTAGTTGTATGCAGCTGCTGAAATGTCACTGTCAGCTGTGGCTGGGTATTTTATTAGATTTTTTTTAAACACGTGTTGGTCAATTATTTCAGGTTGTAATCCTAATAGTTCATTAGCCTGATCGATTCTCAGAGGCCTTAACAGGCATATTGATACTGTGCTGTTTGTTGGTGCTCCTTCATTGCTGTAATTTTTGGACTGCAGCCTAAATAGCTCTCCAGTATGACTTGAAGGTTTTTCATTAACGTGTGTTGATAGTGAGATCTCCACCAAGTGACCTTCAGCTTAGCACTTACAGTAATGCCAGTCTATTGTTGTTATTCTTATCCACATAGTGACTTAATTGACAAAGATTCTGTTTTATTGGAGCATGAGAAAGAAGAGCATGCCGCGATCTTTTTAGCTGTGTTTTGACACATGTGGGCTATGGTATACTATGGTATAACAGTTCGTCCTCAGAAATTAAAATGTCAGCCATCACATTAATTTCAGAATCAGTGTAAGAGAGTGAGACAGAGAAGGGAGAGGGAAAAAGCGAAACAAATAGGGGAGTGTTTTCACCAAACCTATGACCCTCCTTTCTTGTCATTTGCCACAGCTTCTTCAGTTGGTCTGCATTGCCATTCTGCACTGTTTTCATGTTTCCTCCTCTTAACGAGACGCTCACCAGCCTCCTGCTCTCTTCCCCCTCCCCCTCCTGTCCTCTCCCCCCCCTCTGTCTCGCTTCGTCTCTCTCTCTCATTTTTAGTGAGATGAAGCAGGAGCTGGCAGAGGAAGGCAGCAGATGCTCCATCCTCTCGAAGCAGCATCGTTTCAATGAGCACTGCTGCATCCGCTGCTGCGCGCCCTTTACCTTCCTGCTCAACCCCAAGCGCCAGTGCCTGGACTGCCAGTACAACGTCTGCAAGACCTGCTGCACCTACAGCGAGAGGGACAAAGCCTGGCTCTGCTCTGCTTGCCAAAAGGGAAGGTTAGTGTTTTTACACACATTCACATGTACACTAGTGGTGGATACCAGAGGGTAGTAGCAGACGAATTAATAGAGATGAGAAAGATGAAAGAAGCTGTGAGCTGGTTGATTTGAGGATGCTGAAGTAAAGGGAAAACTAGGATGGAGAAAAATAGATATGTAGGGGACATTTCTGAAGGAAAAAGAATGAAGTGAGAGCAGAGACAGGTTTGTACACTAGAGGAGAGATGTGAGGGAGAAGATGAATGAATGAGAAGAAAAGGAGGACTTGAACCGAGTCAGTGCTGCAAGAATGAATGTTTTACTGTTTTAAACATCCAGCTCTATACTTATTTCTCATGGAACACAACTGTTTCAGCTCTGTTTTCCTCTTCTTTAAACATAAAGGTGATTATCCTTGTCCTTATTATCATTGCTAGTGGTAAAGCCAAGAAGGGAGAAGATACGGGGCCATTAAAGGAGACCGTAATGACAAAGAGGGGCAGAGAAGGAGAGAAAATTGAGGGGAAATGTGGAGAATTGGTAATATCTACAGTGCTGGAAAGAGACAAGAGACAGCAGAGCCGGGAAGATGAATAATCAAGCATCACTTGGATTTTTTTCAAGCATTTCGATTTTTGATGTACACTTCCAGTTTCTTGTGGGAAATATTTTCCATATTTTAAAATTTTTTTTTACTTCCTTTTGTTTGTTCTGAGTCCCCGACCACATGCCTGTTCACAAACTAGATATCATGGCTTTAGAGAAAAAAAACAATGACAACATGCACTGATGATGTATAGATCAAGAGAAACCAGTCTTGTAAGAGGCAAGGGAATTCCCCTACAGCTGGCTGTATTTGCAAATAAGGTGTGTATGTGCATGTCTGTTAAGGCTGTTTATGCGTATAGGGAGTTGTCCTGGTGCCCCGACTCACCATTGGATGAATATTAAGCGCTCCCTGTCTGGACAGCAAGGGTGGGGTGTTGATACTGATGTGTGTAAGTCAGTCACAGTGGTTGGATTCATCTCATAATCAATTGGGATTTTAGGATATTAGATATGTGAATATGCGTTATGTGTATTGTTAAGGGGCTACATGTGGCATTGTCACTGATTACAGCGATCATTTTTTTCCCCTCACTGGAGCTTCTACTTTTAATTGCTAATGTCTCCAATATCACAAGAAAGACAGCTAAAATGCAGGTGTAATGTGGCACATTGTGGATTTTCTGTCTTGGGGGTGGAAGTGGAGGTTGACAGGATGGCGGAGCACACACCAGAGCTGTCCAAAAAAATGTGTCGCTCCTTTACTTAGCATTATTTCTTCCCTCCAATGCCCCTGCTTCATCTTAGTCTGTCTTTCACTGATTTTTGCTGCACAGTGTACTGAGTTAGACCTGCTGCCTAGTCCTCAATCCTGGTGTAAGAGAAGGGAGGGAGCAGGAGAGACCGTAGAGAAGAGATGAAGGAGGAGGAAAAGGAATGATGGCATTCACAGGAGGTGACCAGCTTTCCATCGGTCATCTCTCCCCTTACGCTCTTTGTCTATCTTTCTCTCTGTTTCTGCCTGGGGCTCGGTAATGTTCTCAATAGAGGTTCAGACTGAGTCGCAGATGGGCCTGATGTCACAACATTGCCATCTACCAGCTACATATAAATACAGCACTTTTCATTAGCGCATTAAACATGCTTAAATCTGGTTTTAACATGAATTGCTGTCTCTCTGGGTGGAGTCGTATCCTTTGGAGCACTGATTTACAGCTTGCATAAGTGTTGAACTTGAGGCTAGATATTATTTTGCAAAACGGCTATATGTCTAGTATTGGAGTGAATGATTGTAAAGCAAAGGCACTGATTTGGTGCTGAAGAAACTGATGCAAAAAAGACCACACCGAGGAAGGATGCTCTCTTTAAGAAGAGGATCTGTCTGAACACAATGCCAGTTAAGTAATTTGTATTTTTTTTCTTGTCATTGTTTTTTTTTGTTGTTGTTTATCATGTTTTTAAGTCCAGAGATAATTCTGCTCAGTCTAATTGTAGAATCAGTTTATCAGTGAACAGGCCACCAAATGGTCTCACTCACATGCACCGGCTGTCCATCAACATTCATAAAGGCATGGCCACTCTGCTCAGAAGTGTGATCCATCGAGGGAAAGCAGATTTGTAATCATCGCGCACATGGGCATGCTCAGAGTCTAAAGCCACCCACACACACATGGTTGCACATAATAATGCACACGTGTGTACATCCAGGCAGATACATGCCTGCAGGCAAACAGACGTGAGCACAGCTGAGAGCAGAGTGCAAATGGCATGATCCCTCTTAACTGCAGCTGCAGTTAAAAAGGATCGTGGCATTGGCTGAATTATTTGTTAATGAACATGACCGCTGCTTGTTGATAACAGATGGTTTAAGAGGAGAAAAGACTCTGATTCAGCTGATTTGTTATAACACCTTTCTGGTGCTGTAACACACGATCATACACGTTCATCTAACACGGCTTCACCTCCTAAGCATAACCATTAGCAGTCTGGTGGGATTAACAGCACACACACTCACTCTACACATAACCACACATATTGTGTCTCTCACACACACACACACACACACACACCCCAATGATTTGATCAGAGAAGTCAAAATGTTTTCAGTGGAAAAAGTAAAAAAAAAAAATTCTTTTGACTCCACGACCAAAACAGAGGAGAGAATGTATAAAGGGAAGAGCAGAAGATGAAGAGAGATGAAGGTCATAGGAGGAAGGATGCGCGGGGGGAGGGCATGGAATAAGGCATTAAGAAAGGGAATGATAGAGGAGGAAAGTACCTGTCTCAATTATCCAAGAGTGGAAATGCCACTAAATTTTCCTTTTGTACTGACTCTCGAATTGCGTTGTTCATCTTGTCATTTCACTTCCCTGCATCTTTGTGTCTCTATGTGTCTTTTTATTTTTTTGGTCCTGTCCTCTTTTATATGCCTATCTCAGTTGCACCTTCTGCAGAACTATACTACAGCACAAACATTTAGTGGGTACTTTAATTTAATTGGATAACTTTTTTCACATTACATTCCTTTTAAATCATTTTAATTGGGAGGATGTAATATTCCATGCATGGAAGTACTTAACTGTGCTACTAATCAGTGTGCAACTGCAGTACACACACGTACATCTTTACAGACATGCACACAAGCGGTGTGACGTTAACTGCCTGTCATATTTTAAATGGGAGTCTAAGTCAGCTCTGGTGATTTTGTGGTGGTGTAACTGCATAGCTGACACATGAAGTCCCCATTTAATTATTTGTTTTCATGTGATGAGGTTGCCTTCTTCTAATGCCCAAACAGTAGCTGATTTGACTTAGGGCAGCAACACATGAGCTAACAAGTGCACTGAAATTCTGTCAGGCTTGTGGGTATTTCATGCACATGAATATTTGTTTTGTTATAAATTTTTTTAGCCCTTATTTGTGATAACTCAGCAGAGATGGGCAGGGAAGCGGCAAAGGTCCACCGCTAGACTGCACACACCAGTGTGTGTCTGTACATCGGTGCTTGCCAAAACCACTTCAAGGGACCTGTGAATATTAATTTTACCATCTCAAAGTGATCCCAGAACAATATAGCAGTCAGCGTGTGTTTATAAGGACACCAGAGGTTTAAACTCTTGCTGCTGCCAGACAAGCACCTGCGGCCCAGAGAGGCTCAGACTCAGTGTGATCTTTTTCTGTCATCCTCGCGGGGGTATTTTTATCAGTGTGATGGGGGAGGGTGTACCCTATAGCACCAGGATGCAGTTAAAATGTGTATACATCACTACTGTGTGTTGACTATACTGTATGAATGCAATTACAAGTCTGTGTCTGTGTCTTGTTGTTCGTTTGCTTGGTGGTTTTGCACTGGATTTTAGAAGCTAGAGGGACGATGGATTGCAGGGCTTTTTACCCAATAAAACCCCAAAACAGCAAGTAGATGAAGGCTCTCCTCTCTTATTGCTCACATGGTAGGACTATCACTTTGCACTGTGAAGCTTTAAAATCACACAAGACAACAAAAGTTGATTTCTGCAGTGTAGTCACGGTGAGCTAACCATGCTCAGGATTCGTAAAGAACTGTTTTATTCTAGTCAGCAAACAAAATTGCAGGAAGCTTTTCATCAATTGAAACTGTCTGAAGAATGCAAAGTGCAGCTGAACCAGCGTGCACACCCTCATCTCTGTGAGCTGCAGGCACAGGAAGAAGAGCCATTTCACCCTCTTGTCTTTGTGGTCTTAGCTGTGTCCAACGACACTGAAGCCACCAGGCAGTTGTAACGCTTGATAATGATGATTTAAATCTGTATGAGTATGTGTAGATACCTGCATTTTAATTGTGTGACCCTTTAGATTCTATAGCAGGCAATAAATCACTGCCATCCAAATAAATATGAGAACACAGAGAAAGACACATTGACAAAAATAACTTTTCATCTTCCCTCTTTTGGGCATGTTAGTTCCTGTCAGTTTTGTGATACCGTTGTGTGTTATTTAGCAGATATTGCTCTGAGTCATCAATGTGTCTCTGACTTCACTGGTCAGCCTCCAGCTCCCAGGCCTCCTCCGTCTGTGTGTGTGTGTGTGTGTGCAGATGCATGAGACATTTACACCTCTGATCTGAGCTTCGGGCCCAGTTGTGAACTCTGTTACAATGAAGCAGCATTTAGTGATTGAGGAAAATGACCATGATGCTAAAGCACTCCACATAAATGGATCATCTGTGGCCCACATTACTCACACAGTGGACCTGCAGCACAGAGGTGATTGGAAATCACATGATTCCTAAATCGGTTTATGCACAAAGTTGGCTAGTGGATCAGAACAAAGCTAAACCTCTTGCTGTTTTTATTGTGGGTTAGAGGGATCTGAGACAGAAACTGTTTGTACACAGTGGAGCAAGATGTACCATAGGTTTCACCCAAAACACCAGTATTTAGGGGCCTAACCCAATAATGCTGCTTTATAGCAGTCTGGTGTGTGGGTATGGG